ACGGTTTCTGAAATGTTTTGCGTCTGACACCTTTTGCATAATTTAATGGTAAAAACTTTGCTCAAAATCCTATTGTACACAATCAGATACACCTGATAACAGGGGGCAGAAGACTACACAAAAAAAAATCTGGATTTATCGCATAGTAATAAATTATTAATATTAAAATTGTATTTTTGTTTTTACATATTTTGTTAAAAGGCCAAATAAGGAATAAAAAAAAAAAAGTAATTTTCTATTTTGTTTTATTCTTGGATCAGGCTTTAAAGGGTTAAAAGCCTTATAATGAAGGCAACACATGCTGTGTGTGTCTATGTTAGCTATATCAGCCTAATATCAAAATGACTAACTTGGCTACAAATACATGATGAGTCTCCATGATTAAATGTGATCGTGATCATTTCAGAGTTCGCATACAAGCATAAAAGTCTGATCAATATCGATCACATGACTCATCACAGGCAGCTGAGGATGCTGGGGCTGAATTAATGTCTTTAATTAGCCGATCGGTGATGTTAACTGACTTTTTAAAGGCCCTTTTCTTTCTCCGTCTTGGCGGAGAGATGCATGTCTTTGATTTTTTTGTATTATCTCGGTTTAGTTTTTTGTTTTTAAGTCAGAAAATAAGAGTTCTGATTCATAGGGATGTCCCGATCCAGCTTTTTTCTCTTCCGATCCGATCCCGGCCTATCAGAGTATGTGTTAAAGTTTAAAGTTATTTATCTACTTACTTAGTTGTCAGACTCATGTTGAACAGGGATTTACTCTGATAACAACTTAATGGTTAGGACACACACCTGTGGGTTACAGATGCTATTGCTAACGTGGGATTGGACTTTTAAAAAAAAACTGGATCTGGAGTCTGGGTCAGGACTAGCCTAGAACTTCTGATATGTTGATGAATGACTGTTTTCTACGCTTTATCATCTCCAACAAAACTTTAAGCAGTCGTTTGGAGATGCAATCCACTTCTTAAATCTACTTTTGCGCTCCTCTAATTTCTCCAGAACTAAAGCAATCGCACTTTTTCTCTCACTCCCAACTGGGAGAGACACATTTTTACAGCATAGGAAAAAATTAAGAATGTTTGTGTCATTTTTGTCCTCCTACAGAAACCATATTAAAACAGAAAAAAAAATGTTTTCTGTATGTAGTCACCATCTGTGAACAGTTTTCAAAGTTTTACTCTGATAACAACTTAATGGTTAGGACACAGACCTGTAGGTTAGGAGATGCTAATGCTAATGCTAACGCTCGTGCGGGATCGGACTTTAATAAAAAAACTGGATCTGGAGTCTGGATCAGGACCACTTTTTCCTTTCACTCCCAACTGGGAGAGACACATTTTTACAGAATTGGAAAAAATTAAGAATGTTTGTGTCATGTTTGTCCTCCTAAAGAAACCATATTAAAACAAAAAAGATGATTTTTTTTTTTTTTCCATTTCCAAACATTTTCGAAGGAGCATTACTCT